TCCTGCTTTGCTCCCTCAGATTTCCTAAAGTGGGGGATGAAGGATATGATTGCTCTGGCTGTGAACCACTCCAGTTCTATCTGACTGTTCTGACTCCGTCTCTGTCGTTTCCTTTTTGATCACATTTTTGCCGAGTTAGACGTGCCGAACCCGAATCCTAAACCCTAACTCTGACCACCCTGACCCGAACTGACCCTAATCCACGACAGCAGCTGCAGCACATCCTGTACTGTTTTGAAAGTGGAAAACCCTGAAGCAATGATCTTGCAGGTACTGTCATGGCCAGAAGATGTGGGCGTGTGCACGTATTTTAAATGTGAAAACAGTCGTGTGTCCACAATGGCAGCCGTGTGGCATCATGTGACCAGAGATGGAAGCATGAAGTTCTTCAGCTGGAAAAACCAGACGATGAGCCAAACTCTGTCTCTTTCCAGCAGCACATGACTTTCAGAGGTGCCCAGGTGAAGAACTGAAGCCCTCCACCTGCGTGCCACATGAAGCCACAGAGCCCTGCTTGGTTTCTGCACTTAGCAAAATATCTGCGTTCATATCTTCATAACAGGCTCACGTTTATGCCTCGCCAGGCAGACGAGGATGCTGCGTTCGCCAGCGCCAGAAACCGAATGCTGATCCAGATTGTGTCCGTTGAAGCAGACGCTCGGGGAGACGATGACACACACCAGCTCTTCTCACATCCAACAGACAACATGGAGGCGAACAGGCTGCTGCCACCACACCAACCAAAGCCACCTCAAATACGGACGCAGACATTTCTTGACAGGTAAGAGAAACGAATGTGTGTTTGTGCATCCAGAACAGCAGCGCCGAGCCGGCCAAGAGCAGCTGGAGCTGGAGCAGACAGTACAAACAATTCCCAGCATTCCTCTGAGCAGCAGAGTAAACTGACCCTGGCCTGGCTGTGTCTAGCGCTGTGATGGCCTCCACCATGAAGAAGCATAGAGACGTTCTCTTGGGGTCTGACTGTCACGCCTCCACTCGTCCATCCACCCACTGAGTCTCTGTGTGAACAGTGCTGCTGCCAGTGCAAACCACAAGCGACAGACCTGCTTTATCTGGATCTTTTCTAAGCATCGGCGCTGTAGCTGCTCTGCTTTCCAGCCTTTACACTCTGAGCAGCTTCCCAGAGGCCCACATGAAGGGCCCGGTCACCTCCAGACCAGCAGCACAGACGTGATCAGGGACGTGTGAGAGAGTCAGAACAGAGACCACAGCCAGACCAAAAACAGAACAGGCAGAGAGGCTGCTGTCGGGGCTCGCTCAGGTCTCGGCCTGTTTGTCCAGCGATGATCCAGTCCGTCTCTGCCAGCAGAACACGTTGATGTTGGCTCAGGTCAGTCCCATGCAGAGGGATCACACAGCGGCTGTGTTGACTGAGAAGCTCTGGTGGAGGTCTGTTGAAGTTTACAGCATCAACAAGTTCTCCTTGTTGTCTCAGCACATTAACAGCAGCGACTCCCACACCGGTCCGTCTCTGACCCTCAGAACCTCAGACGAAGGTGACGTGGGACCTCTCAGAAGATGAAACCCATCCAGTATGTATGCTGCTGTACAGTCCTGCCACATGACGTGACCATGAACCGACTACCTCCAGGTGTGTGTGGAGGCAGTTTGCCTCCTTTGTGAGGGCCACTGGTATTTACAGCATTTTCACATGAAGGTTAAAAAATGCTGCTGAGAATGTCTTGATGTCTCGATCAGAGCGGATGTGTGTGTTAGAGACACCACTGACTCTTTATTCACTCCCACATCACACTCACATCTGTGGTGAAGATGACACTGAGCTGGCACAGGACAACAACGTCCACCGTCCAGCACCTTCAACAGTCTCAGCCTGCTCACCGTCTCACTTGTCTGACCATCATCCATCATCTCCACACCGTCATCCTCACCACGGTCACTGGAGACTCCAGGCAGAAAGATCCGGGGTGTCCTCACCGGGACGCCAACCAGCGACCTTCTAGCTGTGAGGCGCTAACGGTGCTAACCACCGATCCACCTGCAGCGCTGCGTTAACCAGATTCTGTTAAAAACCAAAGTCCCGTTGGGTCCCACTGAGAGGCCGACAGCGACTCATCCAACAGTCACATGACTCCAGTTCAGGGACTTTAATGTTGATTCCATTTTTTCTTCATTTAAAAAACAAACCAATAGAAATGTAGTTCAGCTTTCCTGAACCTTCTGTGCTCTGCATGGCAGCACTGTGCAGCACAGAAGACATTCTGAGGCTGTTTCCACACAGCTGCAGGACGTCAGGAGAACAATGAGCCACAGTGACTCCCAGAAACATCCTGAAGCCCAGATGTTCTCCATTTCTGTCACCATAATAATACGACTTTTATTTTAGCTTTTTATGTTTTGAACTTAAATTTAAATTGATAATAATTTAAAAAATGTCAGCTTCCTACCTTTGGAGGGGACTGTATGAGCGGTGACGTTCCTCAGAGTGAGATCCTCCCCCGCTGAAGAACCGGTGCTCGTTGGGGACCAGAGCATGAGAAGAGGTGGGCGGTCAGGCTTCATGGTTTCTGGACTTCGACCACAACATCTCCAACAAGCTGTGTTCATCCATCCCTGAGGCAGTGTCGTTCCTCCTCCCGGCGCTGTTCCTCCTTCAGAGGAGCCCTCTCCTCCTGTTGCCGTTTCCTCGACCTTCTTCTGGGCAGCTGTGACTCCAGTGTTCACCTTTTCCAGGTGCTCCAGGTGAATGTAGACCTCCTTCCAGCTTCCACTCTCATCATCAGCCAGTCTTCGTCTGTCTCACTGACTTTTGCCTCCTCTCCAGTGACGGTCTTCTGTGAAGCTCAGCCTCCAGCTCTTTGTTCTGAAGGCCTCTTGAACGCTGAGTTTTTCTTTGAGCTGCTGTTTCACAGTCCGTCTGTGCTGTGTCCTTCTGAGCCCTCCTGCTGCTCTGACCACCACAGACTGTAGAAGGTGGACGTAGCTCGCCTGACGTCACCTGTTGGTTTCTGCACTGAAAAAATGAAGCCAGGAGGGTTTTGTTACTTCCTGGTTGCCATCTTGGATCTTGTGAGAGGGCGGAGCCAGAGAGCAGTGATTGGTCAGACGGACTGAGAGCCGAGGACTCTCTGCCCGCCCACATTTACCGGCTTCTGCTGTGTTTACCTGCTGCTGCTAACGACGTTAGCCTCCAGAAGTGGAGCTAAACTCTCCAGGTGAGTGTTCCAGTGTGTCAGTACCTGGTTGTGTTCTGTCCACATCTGGACGATGTTCCATCTGAAGCAGCGACCTGCGTTCCTGCAGCTGAAGCTCCTGCAGGTTACCATCAGACTGGAGCCTCTGATGGAGAAACAGGATGTGACATCGTGTTTAAAGCTGCTCTGTAAACCTCTGGTTACGTTTCCTGACTAGTTAACGCTGATGCTACATCAGGTCGGTCAGCGTCATAATGAGCTACCTGTTGTCTGTGACTAGTTCCCTGTAGGTCACAGCTGATCAATCAGAACGGATCGATAACGTGATCACAGGCTGTGAACTGCTGCCGTCTCATGGCAGACAGGAAGGATGAGCAGAAACTAAACCGAGCTGCTGTTACACCTCAGAACCCTGATCAGCTCATGTCTCTGTTCTCTGCTCATCTCACTGAGACAAACATCTGCTGAAATGATTCCTTCTCCTCCAGAAGCAGTGAAGCTGCTGAGGTCTGGTCACCATGACATGAGCATCACACTGGACCTCAGAGGGTGAAGGTGCTCATGAAGCTCTGGTCCTGAATGTGTTCATGTTTCAGTGCTGCATCTCTGCTATAGATGACAGCAGCATGTTCTCCGTGTTGTAATGATGCAGCAACAGCAGAGATGAAGCTAAAGGCCATAAATGAACGTGTGAACACCGAGAACAGAGAATAACAAACAGCTGCTCGCTCAGTGGAAGCTGAACAGGAAGTGGTTCACTGAGGAGGACGTCCATTCAGTCTCCTCCTTCACAGCCACATCAACGGCTCCAGATGAGGTCTTCTGTCTGTTGACTTTGCTCAGAAGGTCCTCACAGTGGACATGAGACATACCTGAGGTGAAGACAGACATCACAGCATCAGCATCAAGAGCAGAGGTTCATTTAAATTAACCCTGGAAGAGGTCCTGTTTCATGTAAAGTTCACAAAGCACTGAAAGAACCAAAGGCCTGTTGCTTCATACAGAACCCCGGAAGGAGCACGGAGACAGAAGAAGACGGAGAAAGAAAAAGACGGAGACAGAAGAAGAAGGAGACAGAAGAAGACAGGGAGAGGAACAAAAACGGGGAGGTATCTTCTGTGAGATCTCACATGTCTCTCGTTGCCCTTCTGACTGTCTGTCCGTCAGTTTGAGGGGACGGGTCAGGTCCAGTCAGAAGCCCGACAGTTCTTCTGCCCAGCTGAAACCAGCTGCATTCACCTTGGTCGTCCTCATGACACATGGCCTTGTAGATGGTCAAATGCGGGACTGGAGCAATCAAGGTCAGTTCAGGAAGTTGATGCGCTGAAACAAGATGGGAACCCCAGATACTTCAGTCATCTGAGTGTGCACTGACTTCTGGTCACTTATGGCTGTCGACCAGCTCCATGTCTGACCAGCAGCTTTTGAACCTGTGCTTTCTGACCAACACACCTTCTGATGATGCAAACAACACTTCAGACCATTTTCACCAAATCAAAGTCGTGCTGGAGCTACGGCTCTGCTCGCATGACCTGAATGAGCAAACTTAAACACACATCGCCGTTTTATGTGCCATTAAAACGAAGCTACACAACAAAACGTCCACGTGTCCAGGAGCTACGGTACCAACTGGAGGCCGCCATCTCCTGACACTGGAGCGAGCACAACTCCTCTGGACACCTGCTGCTTTCCACCCGACAAACGAGCTGTCGTCTCATCAAGCTCTGTCAAACAGCAAAGGGAAGACCTGTGATGACTGAACACGTGCAGGAAAAGCACAGAGAGAGTCAGGAGCTGGTTCCTCTGGTTCAGACCAACAGCTGGAGCTCACTGAGGCTCCCTCTGGTGGCGCAGCCTGGAAACTACACCAACGATACAGTCAAAGCCTGCCTGGTACCTGGACAAACACAGAACGGTTCACCAGCTGTGACAACACGTTTGGAGGCATCACACCGCTTCAGTTTCTGTTTACTGGGCATCTGCCAACATCTCCAAGTGATTTATTTTCTTTTTCCTCGTTTGGATTTTGTCATTTCTGGTTGAGTAGTTTTCAGTAGTTTACCTGTTGTGGTGCCAGTCACTCACCTCCAGCGTGTTCTAACAGCTTTCATATGAAAACACGTGATCATGCACTTCATATGTCAGTTTTTTCAGGCCTCTGTTTTCCTGTCGTTTCACAGCTCGGCCTGAACCAAGCCCTCCAACCCAAGCTGACAGTATTCTATGTTCAACATTATATGAAACAACAACAAAAACACATGCAACATAGAAAACGGCGTATTGTTGCTCATTTCCAATGAGCAGCCGTCGTATCCGTCTCTACTGTGAGCAGAGCAGCTGTCCAGCAGTGATCGACTCCTTCTGCACATCAGATCCTGCTGAAGGGTTTACGTGGAGCTGCAGCTTTTCCCAGCGTGTCTCTGGAGCAGTCCCAGCATTTAGAGAAACTGTGGTCGTGCTAATGATTCCACCAAAGCTCTTTCGTGTCTGTGGTCACTGCTGGCTTTTCCAAAACCACATTTAAGAGACACATCCTCTTGTGAAGTGCTCTCTCTCGGTTTGGCATTTCAGCGCAGCTGGCACAAGAGCTGCGTGGCAGGATTCACACTTTGCCTCCACGCTGAGATCTGGATGCACAAACGTCTTGCTGCCTTGTGAGGCTTGGCTCGGCCGGCCGGACATGTGTCACAGGCCTCGCCTCCTCCAGTCTCAGCCTCGTTCTCACCAATATATTTTTACAGGGTTTTCTTTGGCAGGCCTGTGGGGACCTCCACAGCCAAGCTAAACAGAGGAGCGTTGCAGGGGAGGGCGGATGGTTCAGGACGGCCCGCAAAGAGTCTGAGACTAAAGAGCTGCGTCACACCGGAGACAGGCCTCTGAGGGACGCCACAGACCTCTGCTGCCTTCATGACACATCAGCCCTGCTTCGGCAGCAAAAGAGGACGAAGCCCACATATATGATGAATATTGTAGTAAATCCATCATGTTAAAATACACTTGACAAAGTTTAGTCCATGTCTGTGTTCTGAGCGATCGGTGACATGCTCGTCTCACAAAGTGCAGCTTGTGATGGTCAACATGGTTGTTTAATTAATCAAAGAAACTCTATTGACTTATTTTGTTTTTAATGATTTAGAAAGATAAACTGCACAGAAGGCGTGACAGTCCTCTGTACTTCCTGCTGTTTCCAGAGATGTGCAGGACTTTAACATCCTGTCATTCACCACATTGCTGCTGCCGTGTGTCGCTGCGTCGCACCGTCCTGCTGCTGGTTCCTGTAGATCACTATGTATGGACTGATGTGATGCTTTGGTCAGAACATTTTGACAAAATGATCAGTGCATTTACACAGAGCCCAAAGTGGCATCTTTTCTGTGCATTAGTCTCGTTTTCATTTACCCTGGTGGCCACGCAGCGCTGGCTTAGTGTCCCGGCTTTACTGCAACATCTCAGCATTCTGACATTCAGAAACGGGAGGCTAAGAAAGCATGCACGGTACACAGAATCCAGAGCATCGCCCCCTTGTGGTGGCAAACACTACATGCGGTCATACAGAACAGTTGGTACAATTCAAGATGTTTTCAAAAAGTTCCCTATAAGGCCGTAACTCAGCGCCGCCTGTTCTGTAAATAGGAAAATACTGAGAGGCTGAACACAGAGGGAAGTTTATCAAGCCACAAGGCAATAGACGCTCTGTATGTAATCCATGACCCACAATACCTTGGGCCAGGATCCCGGCTGTCTGCTTGGACTCCGTGCGTAAACAAGATCTGATTTCTAAAATTGACGTATTTGAGGTAACGTTCCCAGACCTCGATCCTGAGCAGGGTCCCAGATTTGGCAAACAAAAGCAGGGAAAGTCAGAAAAACACTGAGCCGCAGAGAAGAAAACAAGAAAGGCTGAAGAATATGAAGCGTCAGCAGCCAACACGACACCAACACCAACTCACAAGACGTCTGCTGGAGAAGAGCCGTGATTCTACTGATATTACACGATTAGACTTAATAGCAGGATATGGCGTCGCCCTGGACTCTGGTCTTGGCTGAGTTCTGTCCTCCTGACCAACAGACAAAAATCTCATGTTAGTGTGTAGCTGGGGAGGGAAATCCCTCATCAGGGTCTGGGGGTCACAGCCGGACTGAAATGACTCTCCCAGATTGCAGGAAGAGCCCCAGATCTTGACCCGAGGTGGAAAACCAGAGCCAAACCTTCAGATAGATGGACATCACTCAGCAGCCGCTGGTGCAGCAAATGATGGAAACCTGACTGCTGCTGGAATTCAAGGAGGTGCCTTGAAGAACCAGAAGTGTCAGCACACGATGTGGTCCTGCTGCAGTGGCTGAATGTTTTCCTTCTTCTCTGCCTGATTGGGAGTTAATTCAAGATTAACAACGTTACACCCAGATCGCTGCTCAGCCGGCCAAGAATCACCGGAGGGGAAATTAAAGCGATTCAGCAGCCGAGCGACTCTCTGCCAACTGTGACAGCAGCAGAGAGCGATGAGGTGTGATGAAACGTCCGCTGGCTCCACAAGCTCCTCTAATCAAAGCAGTCGCTGCATTATCACCGTTCATGACGAGATAGTGGTTCCTCATCTGGGCTGCATCGAGCATTCAGCAGGAGACGGTCGAAAAATAGGAACTGAATTCTTTCTAAACTCTACGTCACCATCACATCTAACTCCGTCTGTCACGAGGACTTGGGCTCCAGACTTCACTCCTCGGAGGCGTTAAACCGGCTCACCGGCTGGGACGGACTTCTCTTCATTCTGCTTCAAACTCGTCTCGTGAGTTCAAACAGTCGTTTGGCTTTATGATGCACATGTTGTGTGAACAGCCTCGTTTTAACGGCGGTTTTTGTAAAAGCTGTTAAGAAATGAAGAAATTCTGAAATTTCCTCTCCTGCTCTCTGTGCCCACGTCCACTGGGTTCTGTTCCAGCTGAACTCCTCATGAAGCTGCTTCATTCACTCGCTTCTGTTGTCAGACATGACAGGTATGAAACCACTGAAGCCCAGGAACACACATTACTTCACTGCTGGACCACTGATCTTCTACCTGCTGTGTTTGAATATGGCAGCGTTTCCATGTCAGCTCATGGATCACAGAGAACGTTAGAAACACCAGAACGTCCTGGTCTCACACTCACGCCTGGGTTCTGCTCCGATCTGTCAACCACAGATCCAGAGAAAGCAAAGGGGGTGAAATGAGGCCTCCATCCATCATCTCTACACCTCAATCCTCACCAGGGTCATGGGGGGCGGAGCCTATCCCAGCTGACTCAGGGTGAAGGCAGGTTCACCTGGACAGGTAACCAGTCTATCACAGGGCTACACTTAGAGACAGACAACCAAGCACACTCACATTCACACCTACGGACAATTTACAATCACCAATTAACCTCAGCATGTTTCTGGACTGTGGGAGGAAGCCGGAGAACCCGGAGAGAACCCACGCTGCACGGGGAGAACATGGAGACTCCACGCAGGAAGATCCCGGGTGTCCTCACCGGGATGCGAACCAGAGACCTTCTAGCTGTGAGGCACTAACGGTGCTAACCACTGATCCACCTGCAGCCCTGAAACCAACCATCTTTGCAGCATGTTGACCGTCTGGGGACACGTCAGTCACATTTAGAACAATGAAGCCGGTGATGTCAGCTCTGGGTCTCGCTTTGTCAAAGTTCAGTTTATTTATTGATTTAAAACAGAAATGATGAAGACAAAGTGCTCCAACACATTCACCTCCTGGTGGCGATCCTCTTGGATCTTCTCAGACCAGTGTTCTGGGCCTCCTCTCCAGCAGCAGCTTTCTTTCTGCTCCGTGGTGCCGCCAGCTGCTGGGACATGGACCAAGCTTCTCCTGCTTTCTCTGGACGTTTGGGTTGTGAAGCTGTGGCCTGAGCAGCTCCAGCAGGTTTTCTCCTCGCCCCCCTAGTAGCGAGTTCAGCCTCTTGTGAACTGAATTCTTGCTCTTGGACTTTGTTCTGCTTCCCTCTGGCTGCTGGAACAGACTTGGTTGGATTCTCTGAAGCTGCTCCAGACTTCAGCTTGAAGGCCTCCTGTGGAACCACACCGGGGAACGCCTCAGTGACACAATGTCTCACGTATCATCAACAGGTTGATCATGGGGTGGAAGTCAGTCACCTCTTGCTGTGCCAGCTCAGACTTCAGGTCACACAACTCCCTCCTCAGCGTCAGTATCTTCAGCTGAAAAGACACAAACAGTCGATAACAACTTCACACAAACGCTGAACCAGTCGGCGCCTCTCTTACTTGTTTAGCGGCCGTTTCTTTTTCGAGCTGCCTCCTCTGCTCAGCTTCTTTCTGTCTTCTATGTTTGGAGAAAGAGGAGCAGTTATTGAGGGGCTGTAAGAAGGTTTTGGCCTTCTTGCATTAAAAAAGTAGCTCCAAGTCCAGATTGAACAACCGGGACTTGACTTAAACACGGCTGTGTGTGATCCTACTTGTCTGCCACCACTTTCTTCATCTCACTGAGCTCAGTCCTCTTCTCATCACTGACGCTCTGCACGTCCTCGGCTGTCACCGCGGCCAGGAGACACCTGGTGTCCACGTCCGTCAGCTCGGCCAGAGGAGACGTCGTCCTGAGGAGCACCTTCAGCCACTGGGCGAGCTCCTCACAGGACGGAAACTGACAGAAATGATCAATTGCAGACAACCTACACATTGACATGAGAACCCTTCTGGTCCTGCAGCCTGACTGGGTCTGATGCCGTGGACTCAGACTAACTGCTGAAGGAACGACTTCCAAGGATCCATCGACATAAAAAGCCTGAACAATGCCTGTAACAGATTCAGCAGCCTGAACATTCAGATGGAAGCTATGATGATGATGATGATGGTGTGGACCAGGATCTGCTGCAGAACCATCAGGAGAAGGAAGAAGTTCTCACAACATACAGAGTTTTGTCAGTTTCTAATGCAAAAAACTCTACAACTCTGCAACTCAGAGACTCACGGCGTGGAGCTCAGCCTGCGCCTTCTGCCGGGAAGCCTCTGTCCACTCCAGGGCCACCGTTTCCACTTCTATCAGCTCCTGCAGCTCCGTCAGGTCTCCCTGTGGACCATCACATGTCACACTGCATCAGCACACCCACGCTGAAGTGGAGCAACGCTGCACAATGTCTCATTTACCTCCAGTTTTTTCACGAGCTGCTCCTCTTTCATCTTTTTAATGAATTCCAAGTCCCCCGGAGTCAGCTGATAGCCCTTCATTCCTCTCAGCACGGAGGTGGGGTCGTCTGGTTTGAAACGTGAAGAAAGGCAACCAAGTAAAAACAGAAGATCTGTGGCATCACGATGACACTCATAACTGAAGCGTCTGTGATTGTAAAACTAAAGCTGGTGTGTAGCTGAATAAAGCATCCTGAGAAGCTGTGTGATCAGTCCAGAGGTACTGGTGTCAGATCACTGCAGACGGACCTGGAGACAGATGGAATCAAGTTCCATCTAATCTAATGTAATCCGAGTACCTGTTTCTACTGCAGAACAACTGAAATCACACGTCCTGGTGTGCTCGCTGCTGTCTGGATCTCCGGTGGGAGTCTGCTGATTAGAGGAGAACAGAGCTGATTGTGCACATGCCACTCAGGTCCAGCTGGAGCTGTAACATCAGGCACATACCTTCATCGCCGTGGTGTGGATGGTCACAGGAGGAGGAGTTCTGGGGATCTGTCGACCTGACGGGATGTAGTTCCCCCCACTGCGCCTCAGATCGGTAAAAAGCTGCCGTGACATGGCCTGAGCTTCTCCACAAAGAGGAAACACCTGCTCCGCTCTCCTCAAGCAGCCTCTGCTGCTGGCTTTAAACCAGGAAGCTCCGCCCCCCGTACCAATCAGCTTCATGGACCCAGGCCTGACCTCCTCCAGTCCACATGTTCACCAGCACTGAAGAAGCAAACATCTCCTGCATGTAAACCCATGCACTGTCTTTACCTCAGGATGCTGGAACAGCTTTTACAGCCAGCCCTCTTCTTCCCCGTTTATCCTGTCAACATGGTACAGCCCGGACTGACAGCTGGACTCTTCCAGCCTCTGACAGGTCTGCAGGCCTGTTCAGGTGTTCAGGTGTTCAGGTGAGCATTCTCAGCAACTCTTAACAAACAATAAATGGGTTTTCTAAGAAACGGACTAAAAGTGTGTGTGTGAGGGTTCTGTGGTGTTCCTCACACAGTTTGTTCATCACTGCATCAGAAGAGGCTGAGTTCTGCTTCTGGCCAGCAGATGGCGACAGATTCTTGTCGTACACACCCAGAGACCAACAAAGCAGTGAAGAGAGGAGTTCTCTGGTGAAACAGGACCACGTCCTGTCTGACGGCACAAACACCGACAATAAAAACATCAGTGTGACCAAAGTCTGTTTTCATTCTTCTTTTTGTTTATTTGTCTATTTCCACTGCTGCCACGGTTCTACAGTCAACAGCTTCATTCACCACCTCTGAGCATTTGCTAGCATCTGTATTTAAACTCAAGTCTTTTGTTCGACCACTGCAGGTGGCGTCCGATACGTAGAGCACACACAGATCACAGCTGGAGGTCAGAAGCTGTCGTATGTCTGGATTTCTTTCATGAGGAAGGTCCAGCTCTTCTAGAAGACAGACGTACAGACGGGCAGGTGTGCAGACGGACAGATGGACCCTGACACAAAATAGGCCAAAGCAGGAGCCCGTCTATCTTTAAACTGAGCTGCTGGTGTCACACTGCCAGTCACACATGTCTGTGGAGCTCCAGGAACTCTGGAGGAGAGTGCTGAGTCGTAAATACCTCTGTTTTTAAACCCCCCGCTCCCATAATGCCGAGCGAGGGGAAGGAGGAAGAGTGTCAGGCAGCGTGTGATGAACTGGGGCTGTGCGACACTTACTTGGCACAGCGGAGTGGAAAACATTCGCCTGGTTCGACATGGCAGCTAACAAATCACTGCTCAATAGAAATCACATTAAAAGCTGCTTTCCTCCTCGTCCTCATGCTGACGCTTCCTCCTGGTGTCTGTCTGCTCAGGAGGTGCTCAGCTTCACCTCCACCTTCCTGCTGCTGACTTTCACTTCTGTACAGTTCCAGTAGGTTCCATGAAACACTCTTTATTGCTCAGACAGCTTCAGAAGACGGCGTGCTAACCCCAGTCACCTGATCACAGGCTGGCGACCGGAGCTGAATGTCATGAGAGCTGCTGAAGACATCCAGCCATCATGCAGAGTGTGCTGCAGTGGGGTGTTGATGAGTCCTCCAGGACACCGTGGGCTCACCGACACAGAGCCTGTGAAGGAAGCCGACCCAGAACAGAGCAGAACACTTCATACAGGAGGGAGGGAGGGACAGGATGTAAACACAGAAGGCATGAATGGTTGGTCTTCTGACAAAAGGTGGTTGAATCAACAACAAAGAGAGCTGTCAGGAACAGTGGCACTAGAGGGTAGTCAGTCAAAGGAGGTGCTGTTGTCTTCATCAGAGCTCAAGGACCAGACACAGGTGAGAACACCTCAGCTGCTCAGAGGACTGTGGAGCACAGAGGCGTCCTGCAGTCCTGCTGCACACGTTTCCTCGGTCGGCAAAGAAACAGGGACTGCCGGCTGAAACTTCATCAGGAGCACGTCGGAGCTCTATTCATGTTTTTATTGTCATCATGGACGGATACCTGAACACAGTCAATCGTGTTCTCGGTGTCTGCTGGACTCTGCCAGGGCTGTCCCTGGTCTCCGACCCTGGCTGTGATGTCCCCAGACCGGACGTCAGGGTGCAGCCAGGACGTGGAGGCTGCCCCCTTCTGGAGCCTCAGGGGAGCATCAGTTACAGCAAATAAAGAAAAAGAATACATTACAGCACAAACGCCAGCTGAGGCGGTTTGGTTATCCAGTCTGGAAGACAGTCTGAGGTCGACCCAGAACTTGGAGGGATTCTGGATCTCATCTGGCCTGGGAACGCCTTGGACCCCCCAGGAGGAGCTGCTCCTTCACCGTCTGTTCCCAGGACCCAACCTGGATAAGAAGAAGGATGGATGATTGAACAACACAATGCCAGTACTCTGTTGAAGTTCTACTGGGACGTGAACCTGCGAGCAGGATCTTCTAGCTGCCAGGCTTGACATTGGATTTGCTTTAGTTTCACTTCAGACTCCTGCTCACTGACTTCTGTAATCACTCCTATTTACACACTGGACACGACTCCATGGCCCCCAAAGCCTCTGAGACGTCCCTCTGACCATCACATCCTCTGGGCGACAGCCTGCAACAGGCAGGAACACACAACATTCAGCCCATTGTGTTGTGTAAAAGCAATCCAGAGTTGAGAGGAGTGTCCCAGACAGGCCTCTTCCAGCTGCTCTGACATGCAGCGTGGCGACCAGGCCGAGTTGATAGAGCGGCAGCAGGGTGGCACAGTGGACGGGGACGAATCGATCAGCGCTGATGTGATGAGGAAGATGGAAAGTTTTTAGCCTTTTAAACAAAGTAAATGATGTAATGTGGTCACACAGGACTGCTGAACAGGAGCATCCGTGTTTCAGGGAACAAACTGTGGCATCTGTTGCAAGAAAACACACTCCGTTATCTTTATAATGATGTTGGTGCTTAATCCTCACTAGGGTGGTGGGGGGCGGAGCCTATCCCAGCTGACTCAGGGTGAAGGCAGGTTCACCTGGACAGGTAACCAGTCTATCACAGGGCTACACTTAGAGACAGACAACCAAGCACACTCACATTCACACCTACGGA